GTCACTTGATGAGGCTTATGTTTCCTCCATCTGTGAGAATGCTGTGAGCACTCTGTGAGCTCTGTGAGCCTCTCCTCAGGAAATTTCAGGCACAGAATAGTTCTGTGGGTAATTTTAGAGGGTTTACCAAGTACCTTCCCCCAAATTCAGTCTTGGATTCCAGGCTAAGAAATATTAGTTGAGAAGGTAATGTGGATTACATCTTTGTGATAATCTGATTAAATCTCTAATGATAAGAAATAACTGAAGTGAGCCCCAGAGTTTATATCAGAATGTATTATTCATTGCATTGAGGGCTCTCCCAAGAGCCCTCACGAGGTCTGACTTTGAAATCCACCTGCACCTTTGCCCGTCCCACCCATCTATTCCATCCTCTTGTTGAGTTCTGTCCCCTGCTGTGGTTTACCATTTACTGTTTTGCTCCCCGAACCTGCTGCCCCCATGCTGTTCTGCTTTCTATTTGGCTGCTTCTCGTGCCACTGTGTTTTTGTTTTCCACAAAAGGGCAGATCATTTTTCTGACACCTTTCCTTTCCTCTGGCCAGCAAGCTGACCAGTGACAATACTGTGGAAAATCTTTAGTCATCTCCCTTTTGCAGTTTTTCTTATTTGTGTTTCTACTTCTGATTACTCAGAACAAGAAAAACTAATGATCACTTGGGAGTAGAGATGGAAACAAATGCAAGCTAGTGTTAGTTTTCCTTTGCCTTCAGAGCTATTTATATTTTAGATATCCTTTCAATAGCCCCTAATGAAGAGCATAAAAAAATTCCTTTAGGTAAGATAATTGATTATTTATTCCTTGTACATTTATTCCTCAGTGGTTATTAGCTACAGTAGATACAATTTCAAATTTTATATAGATTCAGTGCTAAAAACAATTTTATTTGTTCTTCTTAAAGATTTAATTGTGCTGTTTTGAAGTGCACCTTTGTTTAAAAAATATCTAGTAAGTTTTGCAGGATGACATTTGCTTATCTGGGAGACAGGAACATATTAATTTTTAGTCAGTTATCCATTGAGTTTTGATTTATCAGTAAAAAGCTGCTGCCTTATTTCAGGCCATTAACAAATGAAAATATGTGCATATTTTTACAAACACTTCTTTTACTTTAGGGTTACTGATGACCAGTGACCCAATGCCAGCGTGGCCATTCAGTTCAGCAGTGAGTGAGTGTGTTCAGTCTGCAGAGACTGGATACTCCAGGGTGGTTGAGATGCTGCCCCTGCCCTCAGTGAATATTCAGTTTCACTGAAGTTTGATGGGAACAAATGTAAATAAGGTAGACTATGCAAAGCTCCTTATAGAGGTGAAAGTGGTGCCCAGAAAAGGAGTGAATTTATCTGGTCTGGGAGGATCAGGGTGGTTTTCTGGGGAAGGTGGTGTTGAACCTGAATGAGGGGCACCAGCAGGGGTCTTCAGCATCTTAGAGTGTGATGGAAACACTTATAGTTGGAAGAGGAAATGGGGTCATAGGGTCTAAAGGTAGCATACCTTAGAATCAAAATTTGCCTTCAGAAATTCCTTAAATTTCCTTTACAGTTTTCATGGTTTTGAGTACTCAACCTGCATAATAATGTGTATGTATGTTAAAACTTGAGAACTGAAACCCATACACAGAAGCATCAGTCCATCCTGTTTTGGAAGTGTTCCTACATCCCCCCCCCCCGCCCCGGGCTTACTCTGGTCTGTTTCTGCAGTACAACTCAACACCCTTAGTACATGTTACTAGATGGTGTTTTTTTTCCCTCCTGTACTGGGGGTTTGAACTCAAGGCCTCATGCTTACTAGGCAGGTTCTCTAACACTTGAGCCATGCCCCCAGCCATAGATGTGTTGGTATTATAAGGGTTAAATTGATTACAGTGTGAGAGCACCTGAGATTAGTAGCTAGCAAGCACTCAGTGATGTTTGTGGAGGTTGGATCCAGAGGCTCAATATTTACTTTGCTCTTAGAAATGTTATAAAGGAAAATTTAGCCACCTTATTTCCTGTCCTGAAATGGCATTTCCTCTAGTGGCTGTGCTAACCAGATGTCATTGTCATGTTCTCAGACATCATTCTCATTAGCATTTTAGAGAAACCACATCCTAATCAGAGGTTTAGAGTCTGAGGAGTTGTATCATGCAGCTGTCCTTGACAGATTTCTAAAGCAGTTGATGTGTCCTAAATGAGCAATACAGAACAGCAGCACTTTGAATGGCTTCAGAAGGTCTCTAATGAGATGACTGACTGTAGTATCTCCATTCCTTCTAAGCCTCAGAACTACCTTCTTTCATAAGTTGGGCCCACCTGAGGGTGATAGACAGCGAGGACTGTCTTGCTCTTGGAATTGCCTTACTTCACCCAAGGATTAACTGCAATTATCTCAGGTGGGTAAGAACAGCTGTGTGAATTTTGCTGGTGCAGTTCCTATAAGCAAGTGGAGAACCTTTATCTACTACACTAATCAGGACCCTTTACATAAATACCTGTGAGAAACTTTTTACAGATTTACTTGCTTTATACAAGTAAATTATGGAACTGATCATGTTTGCCTTTTTGTCCTGGCTGCCTAGAAGGTAATTAAAAGTTTTTTCCTTGATTACAAAATAAAGTCATTGCTAAATTAAAAAAAATACAGAAAACCTTCCAGAAGAATAAGTCTGGCTCATGGCATGTGAACATGTGTGTTCCAGATGAATGTTTGAAGGCACCTGTCAGAATCAAGCAGCCCAAAGGGAAGAATGGTTATTTTCATTGCTGGAATGCTTTGTGATGTGTTGCAGCAACACAATTAGTAGCATTGTCATTTTTAGGCTTTTATAGTCATGGTCGTGAACTTAAGGGTTATTTCTTTAGGTCAGAATATCAATGGCAACATCAACAACAGCAGTTACCACTAAATGAACATCTACTATGTACCAGCACTTAAAAACCATTTAAAGACCCTCTTACTACTTCACTGGAGTTCCTAGATGGGATTAAACCCAGATGCTGTTATTAGCCAGCATTATCAGTAGTTGCTGGCTGGGGATCCATATTGTGCTTTTTAGCAGTTTCAGCAGTTAGAATAAACTGGTTCAGCACAGTATTGTGATTACAAATGTACGCTGGATCTGAGTTCCCACTCTCTGCCATGTAGCCTTCTGCACATATTTAAACTCTGTGCATCAGTTTCCCCACCTGTAAAACGGGACTGACTATGTTGCATAAAGTTATAAAGACTAAATAAGTTAGTATCTTTGCAGGGTTTGGGATGCAGTGTTTTTCAAATAAATAACCTTATAAGTTCCTTACAGAATACCCCCAAATAGGGTGGAGTTTCTCTTCTTAAAGTCCAGAAACTCTAGTAGCTTGATGAAGAGGGGAATGTAGGAAGAGCTGGGTGACTTAGAAGTCTGTGAGCCATCTCAGAAAGGCTTGCAGTTGTTGGTCAGGCCGTACATCAGTCAGGCCCCGTTTCCGTTTCGTGCTTGTGGCGTCATCCTTTTTCACCTCTTTGACGTCTAGGGTATTTCTAAATTTTGCTTTGGCTGTCATGTCACTTCTACATATATGTAATTCAGACTGTGTTTTTTTTTATTCTCTTGTAACTTTACAAAGATTTTTAAATTCATAGATCTTATTATTTTGGAACGTAACTTTGGTTAGAGAGCCTTTATTTATTTTGAAAGTTCACTCAAGGTCTAGAAATTTGGTATTCAAAAAATTATTAGCCAGCATTTTTGATGGGCTCGTTGATCTCTCATGATTCATTACATCATTAATACCACACTGAGAAGGAGTCCCAGTGTTAAATGGCAGAGACTCTGGCTTAGCTGTTGAAATGAAGTGGCTGTAGCAGGTGCTGCTGGGGAGGATGAGGTCACTGGGCATGGGGTGGCCTCTCAGCCTCCCCAGAGCCCCGCCAACCTCAGTTACTTTGGGAAGTGCAGACTTGTACCTGGACTTCATAGGCTAGTTTACATACTTCCTTGGGTGTTCTGTGCCCATGGCACCTATTGTTGCTGTGTGACAACTAGATTCCTCTCCTCATTCCTGTTACTAAATTTTTCCCAGCTTCAAGGGGATAAGCAGAGGGACTTAACAGGAGAGCTCTGAAGCACCCCGGGAAGTGCAGAGCAATGTCTGAGCCTATCCTTAATACTCATTTTTCATGTAGCTTTTCAATAAATCCCTTAATACCTCTGTTTTGATTTTCCTAGGAGATTATTTTTAAAAGCATTTTTATTAGCATGTATTAGTTGTACAGGGGTTTCATTGTGACATTTCTCTGTATACTTACAATGTACCATGGTTAGGTTCTTCCCTACCAAGGAGCTGAGTTTTAAAAAAATCACTCCACCATTAATATGAGGAAATAATAAAAATGGCAGATTTTAGGAGAACACATTTTGAATGCTGTCACCATTGAATCGTGGGATAGTGACACGCACGTGTTGGTGTAGTTAAGGAAATGCTTACAGCAAATGCTTTTATTAAATGGAATGTTAATTTACTAAGCATAGTGTCATTTTTCTGCCATAAAATAGTAGGTTCATTAAGTTTTGCCTGAGCAGTCTGCCATGCAGGGAGAAACTCTTTTTCTCCTCTGGCACCCCATGGGAACCCCCTTGCTGGTCGCTTCTTCTGCTTTGATCATCAGCCACGCATTTGGTGTTTAGCCATAACAATATAAATGAAAGCATTCAGCAATTGTAAGACTTTTATAGCGGCCAGGCGACCCAGGTGAGGCTTACATTCCATGAGCATCAGCTTGGAAGTGGTTTTGAAGGAGTCTAACTGTGGCTGGCTTTCTTCTAAACACTGCACTATTTGGATTAGGATTGACTTGACGCATGCTGTGTGAAACAGACACAATGAGGCTGGTCTTTATCGGAGAGGCCGTACACTGTGCATTGTTCAGTTTGGGGTTTGTTTTCCCTTGGCCAGCAAGCAGGAGCCTCCCACTTTCCCCGCAGTAGTAACACCCCTGGAGGCTGGCCTTCGCTGTCACACTGTCCCACCCCACAGGCTTTGCCGAGCCAGCCAGTGCAGCTGACCCCTTGTGCCTGGGAAGCCAGTCTCTTTTCCTTCCTTGGGCCACTGGCATGTGTGCGCCTTGCGTGGCCAGGGAATTGCAGCTGCTCTTGTTGAAGACGTTCTGACTTGTGCTTTGGGCTGAGAATGCAGGCTGAGAAATACAGGACAAGCAGTAGAAGTGTCAAAAAGGAGCTGGTGATCGAGTCCCCCCTGCAGTACAAGGATGCAGCTCAGGGAGAAGTGGAAGCAGAAAGCCCAGGCCCTGTGCTGGTAAGAGGGTTTATCCCCATGTAGGCCTGTTATTGTGTGTGTAGGAGCTTGGTGCCTCTTGCCTCTGTTTGGCTTTAAATCGTGCTCTGCCCGTGTCTTGTGATTTCCCCCTCCTGCCACCCCACCCCGTAGATGGGCTTAGGTTTCCACTTTGATTCTTCTTGTGAGAAGGGAAATTTTGACATTTTGTGGGTGAGCTTGGTTTCCAGGAGGTTTCTTTGTATAGAATAATTGTTTTGCTCAAACTTAAGTTCCACCTAGCTGCGGTGTTTCCAAACATAAACCCTGGAGGCACATTTTAGCTGCAGCTATAATAGGGTTGAAAAAAAATGTACTTTGCAAAATTAAACCCTTTTCTACATTACCTCTATATATTACTGAGAAAAGGAAGCAGGTGCCAATGGGGATTTTAAGAGATGTAACTTGAAATTACATGTGTTCTCTTTCACTCATTTTATCATGTTTGCCTTGAACAAAGTATGAAAGAGTCTAAACTGTGAGCCAACTGACAGAAAAGTTTATCTTCTTAACATTAGCTGAACTCTTAGCAGTTTGGGCAAAGTCAAGTGCCTGGGTAGGCTTTGTAAGGGAGGAATGTGAAAAATGGTCGTGTTGTTATCAATGAGTAGGCTGTGCTGCTCTCTTGGAATTTCTTTTGTACAATAAAAAGACATAATTTTTTAAGCAAGCTGCAAAAACCACCGACATGTACTTCAGAGGAGACAGTCGAGCCTCTCACATGACCTGTGAGAGGGATTGTAAACCAATACGCAGTGCTTTAGACAGGGAGATTTTAATGTGGGGTTTCAGCTGCTATTACTATCAAGTGTTTGGTTAGTAATTTACTTAAATTTCAATTAATATCTGTAAGAATCTGAATTTAAATTTTCCCATAACAAATGTGATCTGATTTGATTGATTCGATTTGATTTCTTTCCTATGTGACAAGTGAGACTGCCTTCTTTTGATTGTGTTGCCCTCAAAATTACGGACTGAGAAAGTCAGTAAAATAAGATTTTCAACTTAGAGATTTAGGTTTCTTTTTCTTTACTCTGTGTGTATTATTTGGAAATGTCGTTCCTTATCTTGGGCACCTTTCTGCTCATCTGACAGCTCACTCATGCACCGAGTGGCTCGGCTGCTGACATGCTACATAGATTGAACCACTCAGTGTTCCCAGCTGATGGAGCTTACACCTTCCTGGAGGAAGTTGTGTGGTTTTGGTTCCCTTGTGAATATTCTTGAGAATCTTCTTCAGTGATTCCCCAGATGTGTCGAAATATTTGCTTAGAGGATTGAATGCACTGTGGAGAGAGATCTGGAGGGTCGCTCACAGGGCTTGGAGGCTTCAGCTCTCTGCACCTGTGGGGTGTGAGTAGCAAGAAGGGAACAGTGATACAGCAGGAAGCTTTTCTTATCAGCGGTGTTTCTCTTCTTCCAGCAGTGCAAGCAAGATAAGAGCTAATATGGGTAGGAGAAGCCAGGCTATTTAAGCAGGGCCTGCCCAGGGCGGATCTCCTTACCTGTGACTGTGCTGCTCACAGAAACGAGAACTCCCTGGCTGCTTGGAGTACAGTTTGTTTCTCGGGACGATTTTCTAAAGTGTGCAGACAAACACTGCCTTGAGATCTGCTGGTTGAGGTGCTGTTTACTAGGGTAATGTCAGTGCCCCCGGCCTGGTGAGGATCCCCAGGTCTATGATTTGAGTGGACTCTGCAGAGATACTGAAATGTACTTTATTCAGGAAGTAGCATTTTGAGGTTGAGTTTTGCTGATTTTTAGGCACATAAGGAGTCTCTGGGAGAAACTATTACATAATTTGCAAAGGATAAAGATGATTAATGCTCATGATGAAAAATGTAAGTCATTTAGACATGGAACAAAGTGCCTGTATTCTTACCTCCAAAGGTGATCTGACTCATAATTTATTCTGCATAATTCTAGACTTTCTCCTGTGAAAGTAAAAACATAACTATGTCTCTATTTTTGGGAAACAAATGAGTAAAATAGGTTCCCAGAACACATTAGAAACCATATAGTTTTGTCCCAGAATACATCAGAAACCATATGTGGATTTATGTCATCATTTTTAATGGTTATATAGTACTCCTTTTTGTGTCTGTACTGTAACTTAGTAGTTATTCAATTTGTTACTGATTGAATTAGTTATAAATCATAGTGAATATACTAGTAAATATACCTTAAAGCATTTATGTAAGCCAGAAACAGTACTTGTCCTATAAATTTTCAATTAGAAGTTCCCTCTTGTTCTTAAGTTTGGCAATATTGTTGCTTTTTCCTCTGCCCAGGCAACATTTAAGGTTTCCCTGAGCAGTTGCTGCTTGTTCAGTTTTTTGAAAGACAGGGTTTTTTTTTTCTTTATTTTTTTTTTTAAAGGCACTTAGGTTTGAACGCAGGATTTTGCACTTGCAAAGCAGGCGCTCTACCACCTGAGCCATACCTCCAGCCCATTTTGCTATGATTATTTTGGAGATGGGGGTCTCACTAACTGATTGCCTGGGTTGGCCTCGATCCTCTCAACCTTCTGCTCCCAAGTAGCTAGAATTACAGGTTCAAGCCTTTGGCACCTGGTGAAAGTCAGTGTTTTTAAGCAAGTGTGCATTTGAACATTACAAAGTTTCAGGCGCTGTGGGGTTCAGCTTACAGGTAACAACATAGGTGAGTATTGTCCCCTGTGTTGTGACAGTAAGTGGAGGAGGAGATGCATGGTGAAACTTCCCTGTTCCCACCTCTGCTCACTGCTAAACACATTGAACAATGACTTTGTGTGCTGTGGATGACTAATGGGAACAATCAGGATATCTTGATGTCTACATGTTAGTTACCCTGATTACATTTGAATACCTATTTCTGACCTCAAACTCAAAGGGGTTCCTGGAAATAATTTGTTCTAACTGCTATTGTCCAGCTGTTTAGAGGAAAAGGGCGTGCCCTCAGAGTCAAACTGGTGGATTCTAGGTCATTTTGTGCAGCTCCTTTGTTGGGTTGCTTTTGTGAGGCAGGTAAGGACTGCATAGGTCTTATTTTGTGGATTTTGAGGGCTGGAAGATGGGAAGATAGGAATGAGTAGACTTTTCACATGTAAGGTATAGTTGGGAGGGTACTCATGACACTTTTTGTTTTTAGAAGTATTTTTTCAGAGACATCTTTTGGATTTTCATATTTTTATGGGATGTTTGAGCATTAGAAGCTGAACCTGGGCCCTTACCTTAACGTTTGAATGAACATATGATCACTGTAGCAGCTACATGAGGCAGTGGCCCGTGTGCCGGGCTGGAGAAGACCAGCAAGAACTTGGCTTCTGGCTGCAACTCAGTGCGTTAGCTGAGAACTCCTCTCCCAGAGAGATGGAAGGAGACCAGAGTGCTCTTCTGTCCCTAGAGTTCTGCTTCCCCAGAGACAGCAGATGAAGGGAAGGGAGACACAAGTTCAGAGTATAATAATAGGGGCGATGATGACATCAGCGCCCTGTAAGACTTTTTAGGTCATGTGATCGAGTTAATTAAGTTACGCCTAGAAAGCGCTTCTGCACTTTTCTGAATCTGTATAAACTGCTTTAGAAAAAAGTAGTGATATTGTGCTGATGTTATTTGAAAAGTAGTTTCTTTGTTTTTGCTGTTCTGGGGATTGAACCTAGGGCCTCATGCATGCTAGGCAAGTGCTCTACCATTGAGCTACATTGCCATCCCCAGTTTCTTTGTTTTTAAAATACTGGAAGGCATAGGAAAATGTTCCTGCAAGCTTTGTGTGGTGAGATCTCCCCAGGTGACAGAGCTGCCTTCCCTCCTACACTTGTGTTTCCCCCTGGTTTGTTTATTCGTGAGTTCATTCAGCCACATGTATGAGCCCCAAGACTTGCCAGGCTTCGTAGATAGCCTGTTGTAGGTCTCAGGCTCCCCTCTCCCGCAGGTAGCCAGGCCGAGGAAGAAGGGGTCGTTCTTAGGCATGGTGAGTGTTACTCTTTTCCACACCCTTAGGGAGACAGCATTCCCCACAGCACCAGCACCAGGAAGGACAAGCTCTGAGATTGTTTTAGCACCGGAAGCAGGTGCAGCAGGCTTTGCAGTAGGCATAGGGACTCCTGACCATTAACAGCCGGCATGAGTGAGGCACCCGCTTCTGCACACCTGTTTTGTGGAGTGGTTAGTGGAAGGGGCTTTGAGGAGTGTGTGAGCCTAATGTACCTGGCTTGCAAAGGAGCTCCCACTGTGGGGTTAGGTGCTATCATTTTTCCTCTTTTTACAGATGAGGAAACTGAACACAGGGAGGTTGGGTAACTTGCTCAAAGTTTCACATTTAGTAAATGGCAGAGCCAGGTTTGTAGACTTCTGGTCAGGTTTTTAAGATCCATACCTGGATAGCTATATAACCTTATTAACAAAAGTGAATATATTAGGGGTGCGTGTGGTGGTACATGCCCGTAATCCCAGCTACTCAGGAGGTGGAGATTGGGTAGATCAAGGTTTGAGGTCAGCCTGGGCAAAAAAGTTAGCAAGACATGCTCCCCGCCCTCCCCCAGTTTCAGTAAGCAAGCTGGGCATGGTGGCGTGTGTCTATAATCTCGGGTATGCAGGAGGCATAGATGGGAAGATCACTGACTGAGGCTGGGCCCAGGCAAAAATGGGAGATCCTAACTGAAAAATAAAGGTTGGTGGCATTGCTCAAGTGGTAGAGTGCCTGCCTAGCAAGTGAAAAGCCTTGAGTTCAAACCCCAGTACCCCTCTCCCACCCCCAGTATATATTCACTTGGCATTAGAATGGAAAGATGAATATAAATAGTAAAACACACACACTGCTCTTAAAAAAACTTAAATGTTAGAGAAAGGCCGATTTACAAGTGACAGAATGACAGAGGTTGCGTTACATAAGGGGAATGACAGCCAGGCCTAACAAGGCTGAAAACATGAACAAAGTGGAGTTGGCCTGAGGAGTCAGTGTTCCATGGTGCATTACACAGGAGCATAAATGGATGGAACATC